CGATGAAAGTGACGATTAAAGGCTGGCGAAACAGGTCAGTTTATTTAAGTATTAACCTTTTCGGTGCAGGGTTTTCATAAAGAATTAAACTCTAGTAACATATGGCGGTTTATACAGGTTTTATGTGCGTTTGCCGAACGTATCTAAACGTTTGGGAAACACATATAGAACCTACATGAACCACGTGTTGCTAAGAAAGAGAGGATATTAAATTCAATACTTTATAACGCGAAACGCGATAAAAATCCGTACAGCTATTTCGAAATGTGAGTAGGAACCACAGAGACATGTGCTAAGTTCGAAGCTGTTAATCGCCGGTGAATCTAAAGACAGAGAAGATACGGAAGATTCAAAGTATATATCTAAAAGATTCAATATTTTTATATACCTATGCATGGACACAGTTTTACATTTTATAATTACTCAATTACGCGATGCATTTTTATTTTAGAATTTGTTTTTTATAGAGATTGTGAAGAATGTATTTGTATAACGCCTACACTGAAAAAAATTTCTGGTTGAATATGGACGAATCAGATAATTCCTTTAGGATTTACCAGAATTCCTGTAATCCTACAGAAATTCTGGTAAATCCTAAAGGAATTCTGGTAAATCCTAAAGGAATTATCTGATTCGTCCATATTCAACCAGAAATTTTTTTCAGTGTACGCTATGGCAATTATTATCCGTATTGTCGCCGCCGCACACACAATGTCTTAACACTCTTAACCAAATACAAATGTAAACTTAGGTGAATATGTGAATTCACATATTAATTTCAAAAAATTTATTTGGCTACCTCCAGCTTGCCCGGACCTAAGTGGCGTTTACGTTTGTATTTGAGTTATATCTTAAAAAGATCCGGATTTAGTTGTTTACTCTTAACTAAATTGTTACGTTTAATATAATAAATGTTTGAGCTTTTCACGCCAATAAATGCAAAATGCTTTCGAGGCTGTGTGAGCTCTATGTAATTTTCATGGAGATTAATAGGATATTTCATAAGAATTTGCGCGTTATGATAAAAAAAAACATTAAATAACACTCTTTTACTAAAATGCTTAATTTAAACTATTTTTGTAATTAAATTGTAAAATTAAAATGATCAAAGATTTATTAAATAATTTTTGATATACAATTTGTAATCTTGTGTTTAAATTTACACTAAATTCTTTTGCCTTTCAAAGGCATTTTATATCTATCTAACACCGATGTTTTAATTAAAAGCTGATGAGAAACCGATTTCATGAATGTACGCAGATATTCTGCATGCATGTTATAAAAGTAAAATGTCAATTTTTGATCCTCTTTTGACTCGAGAAAGGTCCACACTTAGTGGGGTTCACAGTTAGTAATATACCTTGAGATTCATTAATTGTAAGGTTTCACGATTATATCGTCGGTTACCTACTTATTCGCTTTCCACAAATTCAGAGCAAAGCCTTCAAAGACCGGAATAATTAAAATGGCAAATCTCGTTTCAAAGACAAAACGAGAAATACTCGGTTACTCGTACAATTGGATAACCGGATAATAACTGTCAAATTCACGCACATTTTCTTATTGTTATGCTAAAATAACTGTGCAACACCCACAGAAAAAATGTCCGGGTCTAATATTACACTTCAATGTATCATAAAATAAGATCGATATAGCGCCAATGATATTTGTTATAGTGAAAAGAATATTTTAATCTTAAATGAAAAATTCTAAAATCTAGAATAAAACAATAGTATGTATCGTCTTTTGTTGAATATCGCAGTGCCAACTTCGTGCGTTGTAAGATGGAGGGACAACTTATTCTAAAACGCAAGGATATATAAACTTACATTTATTGTATAAGTTACTCTTGTCTCAATATAGTAAGTTAATCCTTTTTAATTCGACTGAGGAGAATAAGAATTATTGATTTTATATTTGGATATTGTTTTATTTTTATACTAAATGAGGTTGTGAGAAATATAAATACGTCAAGAATATTATTTGTCTCGGTAACAGAAATCCTTTCTGAGGGTGAAATTCTAGGAAGTTGCTCGAATCTCAAATTGATCTCGTCTTCTTAACAAAAAATCTCGAGCATAGTATACGATTAAAAAGTTAATTGATAGAGACAATTAAAGAGTTTTGTAAAATTAAATTAAATCTGTAGGCAATGTTGAAACACGCAAACGTTTATTTTGAAAATCGGAAAGTAGAATAATTTCAAGCAGATTCGGTTTAACGAATTTCAAGTAAATTCGTTTTAACGAAAAGTGAGACAATTGTTTATAATAAATTTTCATAATTATAAAAACAAGATAAAACTGAATTGCAAGCAAAAATTTGATAAATCGGGTACAAGTTCTGTGAAAGTTCAATTTTTTAATCCATTTTTAATCACCTTTTATAATCATAGATTGAAAATGTAGTTAGTCAAAAAACGATAAATGAAAAAGATTAAAACAATTTTAACATTATGATATTATATCTCTCAAATAGATAGTACAATATTCCGTTTCAAATCAATGTGAAAAATATAACTGCAGACGAATCGATAATTAAAACGATGAGAAATGTGAGAATCGTGAAATAGTTTTTTTATTGTTAAAACGGAGAGGGATAGAAATAGAGGGGGGGGGGGCGGAGAGAGAAAGGTTAGAGGTTTTCATCTTTTGGTGATTTGACAAGCGAATTTTCCGCGTAAATGCACAACTGAAAACGCAGCGGAATTTTTGAATGTAGATTTTTAATTTAGATGTTCGTACCGTGAGAGCAAGTGAAAAGCACACGGAAGATAGAACAAAGGCCCAATTGTGAATTGTGCTGAAATAAATAACAGTTTTTGGCCTAGTTCTGTGTTGTTCGATCCCACGTACGAGTACGTGCAATTGGCAAGCGACTAAACATCAAACTATAAAAAATAAAAGAAAAGAAAAAGGGAGGAAGAGAAAGTCACTCTCTATTTACGCAAATATACGTTATAAAATAATAAAAATTTAGTTTAATGTTTCAACCGAATTAATGTGGTGATTGGATCAAGTTTTCTTCCTTTTGTATATACAAAAATGCTTTTGACTTTTTGAAAGAAGTACACTTGAAAATTTGGGAGTTTTCTGGAATTAAATCTCTTTAAAACTGCAGAAATGTACGAAAATTTATTTTATTAATTTTGAAATGATTTTATTTTTATGGTAATATAGAATTCAACATTTTTATTTTAAATTTAATATTTTAATTTATAATAATTTAAAGATATGCGATTCAATGATAAGAAGAATTGCAACAGAAAATGCAACAAAAAATCTAATATAAAATTCAACATTTTTATTTTAAATTTAATACTTTAATTTATAATTTATAATTTAAAGATATGCGATTCAATGATAAGAAGAATTGCAACAGAAAATGCAACAAAAAATCTCCAAATGTATTAAAAAGCATCTGTTCCTAAAATATTGGATAGTTTAGAAACAGTTTGTACATTGATACATTCAAATATTACGATAAAATTAAAAAAACAGACACACAATCTATATCGCTTAATTTATCAAGGAGAGAAGTAGATTTTGATATCCGAAAATTTAAGAACCCGCGTACTTCCTTGAAATTTTCCACGGAGATGTCTACTTCGTCTCGACGTCCGTTCGCGACACGAGTCTGGCGCCTCAAAGGCGCGGAAACTCGTCTCATCCCTTAGTTAGACGAAGCATTGATGTATCACACACGTCAAGTAATATTCGTACGGCGCATAATCAAAAAAGAGAAAGAAACAGAGAGAAAACATGTTACACGTGGCGGACGATCTCGTTAAGATAAAAACCACCCTCTCGTTACGGTCCGACGGCAGCCGCGAGACACGGAGCCCTTAATGAAGATGGCCCTCTCTTGTAGGGATCGCACGCGTAATAAAACAAACGACCGTGCGTTTCTTCGTCCCGCTTCCAAATGCGGCAATTTTTGGAAATGTTTTCAAACGTACGACCTTACCAATATACCTAACGCGATGTCGCGCGCGAACGCGAAAAACCGCCGCGACGCGGTTTCATGGAGATTTATGAAAACAGTGTATCTTGTTGCATTTCAATTTCTAAGCTAATCCAGGATGCGTGGTTCATGAACGGTCCAAAGGCGAAGCTCATAGACCCCTTTAACTCTTTATTTATGTATTATTTCTAGAAACGGAGACTCCGTTAACACTTTGTTTTATTTATTGTTTCTAGAAACAATTTTATATCTAGATAAAATTAGATATAAAAGGCAAACTTTTCGCTTTCTGAGCTGCGCTCTTTATGAGCACCGTACAAGAAAAGAATATTAATGCGCAGAATATTTCTCGCGGAAATCTGCAGGAACCAACCGTAGAATATTTTGTATATCTTAATTACGGGAAACACAAAATTATTTGCGCAAAAGTGGCATTTTCTTTAAAAAAAATGACATACGCATTACATTTTAAAACCACATTGCTCCATCGCACTCTACGATCGAGTAAATGTAACGTGACCTTTAAAAAATCGATAGGCCTCTCTCTCTCTCTCTCTCTGATCACAAATTTCTGAACCTTCCCCATCTCGTTCTTCAACCCTTTCACGTACGTCTTCCCGGACATTTTAAACACATAGACATCAATGGACCGATCGTGAAGCTATCCTGCCGCGCATCATCGAGATCGAGTTTTATTATCAACTCGTTCGCGACTCGTGTCGGGGAAACAACTTCTTAATGAAAACGTTTCCGGAAAAGAAAATTCGCGCGTGAGAGATCGCGCAGAAGAGAAAGAGAGAGGGAGGGAGAGAGAGAGAGAGAGAGAGGGAATTTTTCCACCTCCTTGTCACCTCGTCGCGAAGGGGTGGCGAAGTTGGAGGGATGAACGAGGCAGGGCAAGAAGAGGACGCTTGCGCCCCGTGACCGCGTGGCCGCTTTCAAGCGGCCACCTGTGCCCACCCTGTCTCTTTCTCTTTCTCTCTCGCCCTTGCCGTCTCTCTTTCATCCCCCCGTCGAAAGCACGGCGGCTTCCCATATATATAAAGGGTCCCTCGGCATCGCCACACTTCGCATCATTACCGCCGTAACGTGCAAGCCACTCAATCTCCGCTCGTCTCTCGTCAGCTGAGACTAACGCTCAAGAATTCGAAACCCGGTGAGTTCGACGATTTGTTTCTTGCGCACCCTGCACGCTCTATCGCGCTCCTTACCCTCCTCTTCGTTCCTCTCTCTATATTTTTTCGACTGACATCTGTGCGTTCGCCAATTTCCACGTCCGTGTTCTACGAAAGATGTGCCTTTCTGCAATTTGTTTGGAAAATACTATAAAATCGTGTCACAATCAACTCGATTTTCACCTTTCGATTCATCGTTAAATATACTCATCCTGAGCTGAACAACATACGTTTTGCGTTTTAATTATGAACAAAAACCCAGAAAGTATATATCTTAATATTTTACGATTTTATATAAAATAAAATTACAAATATTTTATTAGAATCTTTCAGTGTAAACTTTCGTTATATAATTGCAATATTATAATTTTCGTAATTAACGCTCAAGAATTCGAAACCCGGTGAGTTCGACGATTTGTTTCTTGCGCACTCTGCACGCTCTATCGCGCTCCTTACCCTCCTCTTCGTTCCTCTCTCTATATTTTTTCGACTTACATCTGTGCGTTCGCCAATTTCCACGTCCGTGTTCTACGAAAGATGTGCCTTTCTGCAATTTGTTTGGAAAATACTATAAAATCGTGTCACAATCAACTCGATTTTCACCTTTCGATTCATCGTTAAATATACTCATTCTGAACTGAATAGCATACGTTTTGCGTTTTAAATATGAACGAAAACCCAGAAAGTATATCTTAATATTTTCCGATTTTGTATCAAATGAAATTACAAATCTTTTATTAGAATCTTTCAGTGTAAACTTTCGTTATATAATTGCAATATTATAATTTTCGCAATTATAATAGTACTCACAGTCTGTCTGTTAATAATTTAAGCGTATAACACATCGACGGAATAAAATTGCTCGTAACGATTTTTTAAATCGATGATTGTTAAAAAGAATTGTTACGAGTAACGCTTCAACCTGTCGATGTTTTCATATTATCTTCCATATTACTTTTGTATAATTTCATTGTGATAAATAACAGATCATTATTTGCCATTTCTCGTAACATTTGTGATTTTAATTATAACACAATTTTAACACATAACTAATATATTTTTATTTCTTAAAACCCGCTCAAATAATCTATAATTCGTATTAGATTTCAGAGTACACACTTTTATTTATAATTTTACCATCGTGTATTTTTCTATATATTAATATACATTTTTGATATCATTTAAATATATATTTAAATATATTTTATATATGTTCTGCATTCTGATTTTTTATATGTTTTTTTAATTACACGGCACATAAAATCACAAACAGCATTCGATTCTAACACCAATTATAAATATTGAAGTAGGCTTAGATCTTTTCGGTTTTCATTCTGATCGCGAATAGCTTTTCTGAATCTTATAAATCACTTAAGAACATTTGGACGAACCAGATTCGGTGAAAGAAAGTCTAATAGTGATTTAACGTATGTTCTTGACATGTTTTATGTTACTTTCTCATTTGTCTTTGCTTTCATGATATTTACAAATTATTTGATTTTATAAAAGTTGTATTGGTCATTGCATTTAATTTAGTGTTAAAATCCGATTTTCGTGTTAATTAAAATGATGACATGCAGCCAATCGCAAACAGTTGAAAACAAACTACTGATTTTTCGTAGATTAATTAATCTTTATTTTGGGGTTATATTTTTCGGCGGAAAAAAATGTCGAGTGTAAAAAACACAATTTTTCATGTTTATTAATTAGTGTACGTACATGCGTTTCGCATATATTTTAATCCCATTGGACAAGCTGAAAAATAACGACGTGTGTCGTAACGATAAACTGTTAGGAGAAACTGTACACCGCATTCTGAATATCGCATCGCTTTTCTACATGACTGGATGACGTATAATCATTTCAAGCTCGAGGAGCAATTTATATTTCAATTTTTACTTTTCAGTGTAATTTAATTTTTAATAATTTTATAAGATATAAAAATATATGCATTAAACGTATACATTTATACACGTATTGAAAGATGTGAGATAGTTTGATAGAGTTTACTGTACGATTGTTAGTTATTACTATGCATTTCGTACAAACAACGTAGGTATTTAATTTAATCTTAAAACATGCAAATAAAATTCTGTGGATTATTATAAATGAAAGATAAAAAATTTTAAATCCTATAAGTATGGTAAAGGTGTTAAAGTTTTTCATATTGATAAAAAGTAGAAATGTTAGCAGCGAAATGTCAGGTAAAAATACGATTTTTATCTCGTTACCGCGGCTTTTTTCTTATCTTTGTGCGAAACTAACAGCTGAAACAATTTAGATGCGTAATTGTACCGCGTACACATCCAATCAATGGACATTTAAACAAAAAACGCTTTTTGTGTTTCTCATAAAAATTGAGCACGCTGTCTTTACGATTATGATGTACGTAATCCATTGAAAATATCCGGCGGCGCGGTCATTGCTATTTTTTTATCGCGATGTAATGGGTGATAAATTACTAGCGTAGGTCAAAGGTATAAAACGGAGGACAAAGAAGGATTGATATTTTGTAGCTGGATTATACTACGGGCTTACATGCCGGTGTATTTACAAATTTTAGAACAGTTTGATTAAAAATCTGTAATTATTTTCAGCTTGCATATTGCATATTATACGCGGTACATATTTAATATGACATAAATGGTTATTGCTGATTCGTGTTATATGATTAAAGTTTCGCATTATATGTATGTCACCGTTGTGTATCATGACAATAACGGTAATTGTTTATTTAACGTGATTCGTGTGCGCTTTAAATAGAATGACTTAACCGCATTTTCTCGGGTGTTGTATGTGGAAATAAATTTGGGCGAAAGCAATTAATTATCGAGTTTAATCAAATCAAGTACTGTGGCTTTTTCCGTGTGCCTGTCACACAATCAAATGTCACTCGTGACATGAATCTTGAAAAATTTAAATATCCGAAGTATCTTTTTAGGTACAAACTTTTCTTAACTTTGTTATCTGCAATAACATTGCGCTCTTACCATTTCAATAAATTAATATACCCTGTGTACTTATACATAATAATAAATCTTGAAAAACTGAAATATCTTAAATATTTGGTCAAAATACAAAATTCTTTCCAACTTTGTTATCTGCATTAACATTGCGCTCTTACCATTTCAACAAATTACGATGGTTTTCTGCATATACTATTTTGTATTGCATTTTATGCCGTATATATATTAAAGCCGGCCTTTTTTATCACATAATTACTCGAAATGTTAATTTCGACGTACGCCTTATTACTTTCCGTCGTGCGATTATGTAGATTACAAATTTTACCGGGAAAGATTTAATGCGGCGCGTACTCGCGTACGTAAACTTGGAGATATACGATTCATTCGTAAATGGCAAGTTGCATATTTTTAAATCCGCTTTTCTCAAAAGCTCTCTCTGCAGTGCTCGTCCGCGTTCTGTCAAAACTGCTCGACTGGAAATGTGTGGGTGCAATACATCCACTGCGTTAAATACCGGTGCCATTGTGCGACCAAAATTCATTTAACTTAACATTGCCCCGTTTTGCTACGTGTACACGCGTACACGTGATATAATCAAAGTCACCTGGGACTGATAACTGAGCAGCTGGAAAATTTCACGGGACAATAAGTAACTGTGGGGAAATAAAATCTCGCGCGAGGTAGCTTAATGCGCGGAATGGAAATTTCTCGAGACACTTGAAAAGCAGCTTTTGAAACGTAATTCCACGGACAGGAGCGCTATCCAAAATCGATACTCGGTTACAATGTCCCATCATTGCGCAACGAACTGTGCTTTTCGCCACTGTTCCTTTATTAAGACGTTTCACTAATGACTAATTAGCGCAAGAGATACGGGTGTCGTTACGCGGAGACTGGACGTCGACGGAGTTATAATAATCGATTTCCTTTTTCTCGCTGCGCGTCTCTCGCTCAATTATTGATACAGTTATCGATTACACAACAAATTCAGTTATTTTCCTTGAACGCTGGCAGGTAAATACGTTAAAAGTCGATGTATAAGTGACGCGGAGAATGTTCACGGGCAGAAATAGTCGGCGGGCAAAAAATACAATTTTGCAATCTTCTCGACGGTATGCGTAAATTATTTATGTTCTTTAAAAGCACGCACCGAGTAAAAGGATGGGGCAATTATTGCTCTAGAAAGCTCGACGAGTAAATTGCCGTTAATCAAGCTTGAGAAATGCGGGATGTTCCTGGAATATTCCTCCACATTATTATTATCCGCCCGCGTGATGAAGCTGTGAAATTTTCAGATTATGATTTAGTCTTTTACCTTTAAAGGAGACGGAACGGTTCGCTCGTTAACAGAAGTTTATCACGTTCAGGCGAGGCTCGTCGGACGATATTGTTTTGCTTGAAAATATTTACCATACACACATATTTCTATTCGGTTTTTAGCAATGGAGATTTGTGAATTATATTGTCATTCAAACGGTTCGTTTCTCGTACGAACTTGTCCTTTTGAAAATTGTATCTCGACGAAAATTGCAGTGCTTAATTACTAAGCAATTCAACGATAACTCGGCAGCTCTGAAGAAAATAGCCTGCCATTAGAGATGATGAAGAAATTGTCTCCGAATTTATCGTAGTTTACACTCAGAAAGTTTAGAAACCTTCCGAAACAACCATGCTGAACTTGTTGTGCCAATGTCCATATATTCCCACCAATGCAGATTTACGTTAATCCCGATTTACCATACTTTTCATCCTTTTCTAATCCTTGAAACTAGAAAAAAGATGAGAAGTAAGTTAAGCCGAGATTAAAATTAATCTGCATCGGTAGAAATGGATATAAGAGATCGATGACGAGGGACGAAGCATTTTCGTATGCTTGTATTAAATTTAAGGATTGTTTGCGCAACAGTTTACGTCACACAGCTATTCCTTTTCTGTGTGACGTAAACTCAGATCAACTCTTGCATACTCAAATTAACGCGTTCATTGTTTTGTATATACGCAACCGTCTGTAATCTTCTTATGCATTTAATGATCTTACATTCCAACAATATTACAGTCTTATTTCAATGCTATAATTGTCACTTTGGGAATACATATAATTATTTGGATAATAAAATCGTTATAATTATATTATAATCGTCGATTTGAAAATATGTTTAATTTTCTATCCAATATATCGTTCCCTTTCCATTCAAGAAAATTATTCTTAAATAATAAGCATATATTTTTCTTGATTAAATTACATAAAATAGCTTCATTTAAGTAAGTTTTCCTTCCTTTAACGCAATGTAATTTTATTTAAAGATTTTCCGCGTTGACAACTAAACATATTTTCATAAGAAGAATATTCTTTTTTTCCGCGCAGTCGCATCGGATTGCATCGGAAACAGGTGTCATTTATAATTTCACATGTCATGTGTGTTGATATTTTCATATATCCGTGTTTCGGCTCTTCACGTTTTCTGTGTTATACAATATAGGAGGCTGTAAATTGAACTCGATCCAAAATTCTGAGAGTTATACATCGTCTAAAGTGGATTTCAAGGCAATCACGCATCGGCGTGCATTGTCTTCGTGTACGTTTAACATCGAACATGCGTAAACGATTAAACACCTTGGTCAATGCGGTGTGAGTAATCAACGGATCACACGCTATAATTCGCGCACGTAGAATCGAATTGGGTTCGATAACTTGGGTTCTATGGGCAACAATCAGGAACTGTCATGACGTAAATAACGACTCGTATCTCTCCAGTCACATCGGGACGGAATTTCAACTTATCTATTCGCAACAGAGACACTCGATGTGAGAAAGACTCTATTTGTTTTTTTTGTACAACGAATTAAATTTGAAGAAAACAAGTCGTTGGTCTATTATATTTGTTATACACTGAAAAAAATTTCTGGTTGAATATGGACGAATCAGATAATTCCTTTAGGATTTACCAGAATTCCTTTAGGATTTACCAGAATTTCTGTAGGATTGCAGGAATTCTGGTAAATCCTAAAGGAATTATCTGATTCGTCCATATTCAACCAGAAATTTTTTTCAGTGTACGGATACGTTTTCGATTGTGTGTTTCAAACGTTCTTTTTTGGTTAAATACAATGCACTGACTAGATATTTTACATTTTATTATTGAACAGATGTTTTAAAATATAATTAGATGAAACAAATAACATTGTATTTGTCTGGAGAGAGAGAAGAGAAATTTATAATATATATATGTATATATATATATATATATACGCAAATATAATACAGAATGTGTAAAACGTATATTATAATATACATGTATGTTATTTTCCTGCGGTTCTCCTGCTTACGGAAAGAAAGGGAAAATATTGTTTCGGTGCTGCGTTTATTTACAATATAATCTATATTCCTGTTCAGAGAAATTCACGCGCAATTTCTTCTTTAGATGAGCTGTAATATTGTTTGCGTATGTTGATATTTTGAAAATTTTTAACGAACTCCCATCAGCGACGAGGGAATGGAAGTTATATTAGCGTTAATGGAATTTTCATCCCCGGTAAATAAAGCATAATAATGTATTTACGTGCGTTTCTGCCGCGCGATTAACGTTAAAGATGAAAGTGGAAGAAGGCGCCTTTCCACGGCAAGGCAGGAACAAAACGTTGAAGGGATCGTCGTGCGGTTTTGAAACGGATCGTTTATTGCGCGATTACAGATGCGTGTAATAGGTCTATGTTTGAATTTCACGGCCGAAGGTGGATATTACGCGCCGGCACAGGTGTGGACGGAGCCCTCGTAGCCGTTCCTGCCCTTTAATACAGGTGCCTCTAAATTAATACACCGTTCGAAACAGAGATCAGGAGATGCCTGCACGGATACCCATCGTGAGTCGAGTGATGGATTGTGGTAGACGAGTTGCGTGCGAATGATAATTCGATATCGAGATGTCACTTTCACGCGACACTTGCGAGACGTGTCACCCAATTTAATGTCGCGCCAAAAACTCACGTGTACGCGCACTTAATTCTGCAACGCGATACGCGTCGCTCCACGGTGCGGCGCGGACGCTACCCGTTCCCCTAAGTAGAATTAATTACAATTCAATGAATTATTCAGGGAGCGCGGTGTCGATGTGTTGATAGTTCCCTTTTTCCTCCTGCTTCTTGTCTTGTCACTTGAGCTGCCGCATGACATAAATAATAACGTAAATAAGCTGGTTAGATGCTGATATTGAAATACAGCCCGTTAATATAGTGACCTCGACGATATCGATAACGTGGCCCTTTGAGAATCGAGGGGTTCTCACACCTCACAACTCACACTCCCGAATGAGCTAAGAGATTTTGTCGATAAAATGACACTAGGCTGACGATGAAAAATTTTCCCCAAGCTTTTGATCAGAAAATTATAAAGTGTAATGTCAGTTATGAAACTTGACAAATTCTTCCATAAATGAAGTAATTTTCTACCTTTTCTACCTTGAAGTAATTTTCCACTTCCGCGAGTATTAAATAATTTATTCAGAGATTGAACATATTTTCTTTTTATTAAAAAAAAATTGAGAGATCGCCATACATACGTATGTACTAATTGCTTTGTTGTCAAATATGTAATTGTTTAAAAGTGGAGTTCAATTAACGGATCACGCATCGTAACACTTTTGCGATATTTGTCGACTTTGATTTCTTTTCTGTTAATTTGATACGTAAAAATATACGCGATTTAATAGAAAATGCAAATAATTAATAATGGGGATACGTGATTGTACTGTTTTTTAATATTTACGTCGGCGCGCAGTTCTCGTTTCGAATACTGTCACGATATGTGGTATTCGAGAATCAACGTTAGACTGTTTATCGCGATAAATATTATAATACCTCGGTGGTCGAATTGGCGAGACGCCCACCTAGTGAGAGAAAGGTCCACGTTCAAATCCTGGCTTAGGTAATATTTTTCGCAATAAATTAAACATAAGAGTTATTCAGACATTAACATCCTGTCACGGCTCTTTCGCCTTTATTCCTTCGAATTTATGTATATCACACGAGAGCCTCATGAATTTTATCAAGTTGGCGAACAATTAAAATGACGAAAGATTGAAAAAGATTTACAATCAACAACCCGGGAACAAATGAAAAAAATCTCATTATTTATATCTCAATCGCGTAATATCTAATTATATCTCTTGAGATCCAATTCTAAAAATCTATCAGACCCTCAGAGATTTGAATGTTCGACGTTGTCTATTGAAATCTGACTAAATCTATAATGTCGAACACTCAAATCTCTGAGGATCTGATGATTTTTAGAGTTGGACCTTATGAGATATAATTACATATTACATGATTGAGAGATGTAATGAGGTTTTTCTATTTTTCCTTTGAACGTTCGACGTTATCTATTGAGATCTAACCACATCTATAATTAAATGTCCTAAGAGAACATAATTAGATCTCAATAGATAATAACATTGAATGTTCGATAAAAGTGTCAGATCCCTGAAGATCTGACACTTTTCTTAAACGTTCAACGTTATCCATTGAGACCTAACCAAATCTATAATTAAATGTCCTAAGAGAACATAAGTAGATAACATTGAATATTCAATAAAAGTGTCAGATCCCTGAAGATCTGACACTTTCCTTGAACGTTCGACGTTATCTATTGAGACCTAACCACATCTATAATTAAATGTCCTAAGAGAACATAATTATGAAGTCAGTTGATTTTAAAATTGGATATAATTAGATATTACATAATTGATGTAATGAGATACTTCCATTTTTCCCCGGGAATAATTACACGAATCATACTGGTACCTGCTTAGGTCAGGTTCTAAAATAGTGACATTGTGAGCACCTGAATAAACAAACCGCCGTGGTAACGTTAAAATAAATACGATAAAATAACTTTAAGCTTGCAGTGTTAACAACGTTGACCCGCATACCTTGGCATAATAAGAGACAAATTCACTGAGCAACACGTGAATGCGTCTCGCTCGGGCAGCTCTTTATGCAACGGACAACGGGGAAATGATTCAGCGAAATATTTTGAATGATAAAATTATTGTAACACCGCCCGAAGAGCCGCGTTGCGTCCACGTAACGTCTCTTGAGCCAGCGATGTCATTCAACAGCGAAGCTCATACTTGGCTCAATTGTTATCGTAGCGGTCTTGAATTTATCTTCCCTCATTCTCGTCAAACGTTCGCGTTGCCCAAACGTCGCATGGGGGAGTTATATCAGCGACAAGCACGGTCTATATTTCAGCGGGCTAGGAAGCTTCTACGAAGCGCAAATTCTAGTGGGCGAAACTACCGTCGCGTCGCGTTGCGTCGCGCCGCGCCGCGCGCTGTTCGCTATTATTATTTTTCGAACGATCAAGTACTGGCGTGACAATCTTTTATTGTCGCAACGTAAAAGGGAAAAAGGGAAGAAAGGAGGAAAACAATGCTCTTCGCCAAGCCGATTAGATAACACGCGCGGCACATGCGCATTCTCGGCCGTACATGCTCGCAGCGAAGCATCGTTTAGGCCAAGATCGACCAGAGGAATTAAATCACATGTAGAATCGTTCGCTTGATTGCAGAGGACAGAGGAGAGCACTATGTACGCCAAACGTTGCGCAGCTTTCGTCCTTCTCGTCGTGATAGTCGGCCTCGTGAACGCCACTGAAAATTACATGGATTACGGAGGTGAGTTGCCATAAATCATACTCTCTCGTGCCACAAGTCGTTCGTCGCTTACTCGAAAGGACGGCATACGCGGGATAATCGTGCGCACTTCTCAGTTTCTTTCAAACAAACGGTTATTTAGGTTTTTTTTTAATGACTGGACTAAGTCCAATTTCAGGAAAGTCGGAATCGAGGCGCATTAATTCACGTTTGTGCCGCGCCGAATGTGACGCATGATTTTTAGACTCGTATGGGGAAAGTCCTCTATTACGAGATAGGATTCTAATACGAGACAGTAGGTTTTCACCGTCCAATTTTCTAACAATCAATTTTCCACTAAACAAAAAAAATTTCACTCCAAGGGCAATAGATTCACGGTGGGACCAACAGGCGATGCCTATTAATTTAGCAGAACCCCCGGTGTCTCATATTAGGAGCCTGTCGCGTAATAGGGGACTTTCCTCTACTATTCTCCGAAATAAGATTCGTGTACTCTTGTACTTTTTTAAGGCAATAGCAATAACGACAAGCTCCTCGCGCAGTGCTTGCTCGAGGCTCATCATTCTGACGAATTTTAACGAACATCCCTCGTTCTTTCGACGTAAAGTCGCATTTTTTTTCCGATCTATCCCCTCGCGCCATAAGTCTCATTAAAGTTTCACTCTTACTTGGCATGATAACACGTTTTGTATTCCATTACCGGTAATGCCGCGTATTAACGCGAGACTGTCGCCAGCGTGTCTCCTACTATAATAATTAATGATCGCGAAGGACGGCTTGCGAAGCCGCCGGCTTCTAGAGCCGTAGCGAAAAATTGTAGGCCTAATTAAACCGTCCATCGCGTTGCACTCGTTAATATGCGGTTTCGCCATGTTGTATTTATGTGTATTATCGGTATCATCACGTGTCTGTAGGATAATTTACCTAGTTTAGCGTAAGATATAAGAGATACACATATCAAACGGAATAGTCCGCAACTCGCACCTTTAATAACGAATTATCTGGTCTCTCTGTATACAGTAAATTCTCTTTCAGGTAAAAAACACACGTGAATGCCGTATACGGTAAATTCCCTTTTTAAATAAAACACACTATATGAATAGTTTCAAAGTTATTATATTTTTTAAGCGATTCAGGATTGAAAAGCTTTTTGTGAAATTTTGAATTCACCGGAATCTGTTTGTTTCTTAACGAGAAAAAATAATAAAATAAAATAGAAAGGAATTATTCCACGGCCTTAAATTTGTCACCGAAAGTTCAACAGCAAATTAATAAAAATTAATGTGAAATGTTACCGACAAGTACTTCCGATGTTATCAATAAATGAATTCAGCCGATTTGGTCGAAAATAAATTTGACTGACGCCCTCGGAGAACGAACGAGCCCTGTCTCATAAAGAGAAACGGAGAGTCTAATTAACTCTGACGACGTGAGAGGAACGCAACGTCGTTAACATTTAGGGAAAGCTAAGGTATTGACTAAATCTCATTTTTAAATACAGAGTGGGTGTTGACGAATATTCCCTTTCATTAGCTAACAATTTTACATCGCGACGAGCGAATAATTGCGACGCTCGATACGAAACGCATCCGGGATGATTAGGGCTTAAGTACGTAATATTTTTCACCGCAAGGTACGAACTTCATAAATCCGATCCGATTATATTGATCGTCCTACGTAACACTTTTATCGTAGCTCCTAATCGCGCGTGCGATCGGCCAAATAGTCCACCATTCAATAATCTAAGGCTTAGAGGGTCGCGCTCTATCGTACGGGCCCGCTCTTTCTCGCGCTTTCCGGGCAGTTCCAAAATGACCTCGTCGAAACCTCGTCGAAACGTCGATGTTTCGGACGAGTTATATCCGTTAGGGTCTTTTCGCCATAAGCGTTTCATCAATACGATCCACTCGCGCACGAACGAATTCCGGTACGTGGTCTTCCCGCAGACCGCAAAAGCGTTCAGTCGAGCGTCACAAACACCGATGTCAGCTCCACTTGCCGTAGTTCGTACACATTTCAGTCCTCTCTTCTTTTTTTCTCTCTCCTCGCGGAGATATCAATCTTCCTTCCCGAGACGGAACGTCCTCGTAATCTCGATGTATTATTTATCAAATCGTCTGCAACTGCGCGGGAGCGCTGGGGGAAGCTATTAGCGAAGCGAGCAATTTAGCTTCATAGATACAGTAAAATTTAACACAACATAATCCGCATTATAGCGCAAAAGGCGACGCGACACGGTGTGATAGTCAACAGGTGCATCGGACAGCCTCTGTATTCAAACCCACGCTGCCTTGATTTTGTTTTCCTCGCGGAGCAAGTAATTCGCATTTGTCGTAAAGGTCAGAACACCGCAGTCGCAATATTTCTACCGTGTTTTACGATTTATTTATTTTTTTTGTTGTTGCAAGAAACTAGGTTTATCCGATCGATTGCACGAGCTGCGGTTTCGAAATAAAACAAAATCCCCGCACCAACGTGTTTCACATCATCGCACGTCCTCGAATTTTACCACGCAAGTTTTTCATAGAGTTGAAAGGTGCCTATTCAATCGGAAAATGGTTCCCCGTTTGCCTTTGTGGGATATCGAAACACGCGAGAAAATTCTATCGTCTGTGCTCCTACAAGGTCGACATGTAGTACGTACTATTCCGTACAATAAAAATCGCTTTTTTTTGTTGGCAAACCAGCGGGGTTTATCAGACCGTTTTTTCGAAGTAATTCAAAGAGATACGTAACGTCCGCTTCGAATCGTGTTTTCTCTCATCTTCCACCGTAAATTCATTCCCTCCTGTGACTTGAGAACAAGCGTCTTCTTAAAGTGTTCAATGTTTTCGTTACTATATCGATAACATGCAACGATACGTAGAGGAAAATCTGTTACGAGGCAGGCTCCTAATATGAGACAGCGGGGTTTCTGCTAAATTAATAGGCACCGTCTGTTGGTTCCACCATGAATTTATTGCCCCTGGAGTGAGAGCGCTACCACGATAGGAAAATGTCTCAAACATTGTGTAATCACTGCACCATCCAAGAGGAGGAAATTTTACAATGATTGCATTGTAAAATTTCCTGGTGATTCGCGAAAACGCAGCGGATTTGTAGGAATAAAATTTCTTTTGCCCAAAAATTGATAATCTCAATTTAGGGATAAATCGTGCACAGTTATTTCGACATTTAGAAGCAACATGGTCCAGTTACGTGTAAAAAATGTTTAAAAATGATTTAGGGACGTGTTTACCGCTGGGCCTGCCTTGATCTCGTCTCGCGTGAATTTTACTTACGAGTACGAGACGCCTCGTAGCGGCAGCTCGTCGTAACACGGCGACAATTTAATTGCGCAAATATTCCGCCAAGGTGATTCGCCAAAACGCAGCTGTTTCGCTGACATACCGTTTAGAAATACATTGTGCAAATATTTATCAATATTTGATGAAAGATCTCCATTTTTGCATATGTTGTACGAAATATGTACACTGTAAAAAAATTACACGTAAAGTTACAATTATTACAGTAATTATTAGGGCCATCTATTAAAGGTGTATATTTGCATACGTCAGTAAATTTACTCCTTGTAAGTAAAATTATTATCTTATGCAATAAGTAAACTGCTTGCTTTTGATCGTGTCAATTTTAAAATTTTTTGTAATTTTTCATCATATGTAAACAAGTATTTACACAACAAAGAGTGAAAAAAACTTTTTTGTAAAAGTACATACACTTATACATTTCCGTTATTAAAGTGTAATCGCTACACTTATTATGTATGCAATTTTACATACTTTTTTACAGTGTACGCACAATTCCAGCGTTCCAAGTTTAATCCAGATTTCGTCACCCAATTCTCTAAATATTTTTCTATCAGGGTGTTTAGTGGAAAATTCGTTGTTAGACTGTGTAATCGCCGCGAAACAAGATTGCGATCGAATTTGGATGCTGCAAACCTGCTATCTCGTATTAGAAGCCTGTCTCGCGGTAGGGGGACTTTCCTCTAATAAAAGTACAATTCTTCTCAATTAATTTTCAATGCACTTTACCCGTGCAAACAAGAAGGTAGTCGTGAAATATTGTTTACCCGTTGTTAAATTACCGGTGAAGAAAAACATTATTACCCGCGCGTGAAACGTAATCCCGTCAAGCGTTTTACGACTGCCAATAGTTGAGTTTTCAAAAACCGTCCGAGTAACATTTGCTATCTATAAATCTTGCAAAAATACAGTATACATGCCTGTGTCTTTGTTTTTTGACAAAAAAATAGCGATACCGATACCAAAAGCGTTAATAATTCTGAATAGCACGCGCGTCAAGGTACAAATGTATGTATACGCGTGTGATAAACGACACGTCAGATAACGTCGCCATCGCCGATGGAATATACGTATTTTTTGTTCTGTATTTTTTTATGCGACGACCTATGCGGATGAATAAAAGTGAATAATCGTTATAACGCGCGTTACGTACGACAGTAACCGTATAAACGCCCACCAATTCGTATGACCCTACGCGCTCATACGAAGAACGCCACTTATCGTAAAGCGGTTTAATGCCGCATAAAACCGACGTACTTGCAAAGCGTCATGCTCTCGCTCTCTATTTTCCCGTAAAACTAGACGCCTGATTTACATTATCTCAAGAGCGAGACGCGATGCACCTGTAACCGCGAGAGACGCCCTTAGGCACAAGCGCCCGCGCCTTTGGCTCGCGAGGCGATCAGACGCTCTTTAGCAGCAATGAAGGATATTGATTCTGCGTCCGCGTCGTAAGTTGACGGATATCAATCGAATATTTCTTGACGTTATAACAGCTCCGTTAACGCTTTCAAAATGTGTGTGTGTGTTTGTGCGCGCCGTTAATTCCCAAGATATAAGCTTCTGGCGATGGCTCGTCGGTGCTTTAGCAGGAGCAAAAAAGCTTGATCATTATTCGTAGATTCGCTCGCATACCCGCGCAGAGAATGTTCTCTTCAAATTTATCCTGAAAATCGTGCAATCGTCGGACAACGTGGCATTTTGAAGAACTTTATGAGTTTTTCGAAATTTTCCCACACATTACACTAGTAATTAGAGGAAAGTCTCCTATTATGGGATCTTAATATGGGATAGCGGGGTTTCTGTTAAATTAATAGACGTCGTCGGTTGATCCCACCATGAATTTATTGTCCTTGGAGCGGAATCCGTTTAGTGGAAAATTCATTGTTAGATCGTGTAATTGTTGTGAAAACAGATTTGTGATTGAATTTGAGTGTTGAAAGCCTGCTATCTCATAATAGAAAGGACTCTCCTCTATATTTAGTATACATTTTACTGGTAAAATGTATGGTAAAATTTCAGAAAACTCTCATAAAATTCTTGGAAATACTGTGTTTATCCCACGATCACACGATTTTCAGGATGAATTTTAAAAGGAGATTCTCTCCGTGCGGAAATCGTGAATATTGACAGTAGTCGTTCCGTCAAAGTCTCGTAAGAGGATTTGTCCGCTGCATTGTATCGATAGCGATCATCAATACGTGTAAAACGAAAAAAATTATGTTAAAGTCTCCCTGGGTGTCTGCTAAACCCTGTTTCCCGTCACGGGACATCGATTATTGGTCTCCACGCAGGTCGCAGTCGCATATAAATGTCTGTGTTTGTATCGATAGAAGAAATGGCGGAGAAAGTGCCCGCGGAGAACATCCACGAGCTGTACAGGTTGCTGCTGCTGCAACGCAACGCGCTGGACAACGGCTTCGGCGGCATCCCGTTGGAACATCTGATGATCCGGAAGTCGCAGCGATCGCCGTCGCTACGTCTCCGGTTCGGTCGTTCTGGACCACACGTCTCCGTGAGTTTCCACAATATTTTTGCTGCATTTCACTGTATTTTACATTTGTTCGCCAATTTATACAGCGACAACTCGCAAATAGGTCTAAAACCAATGATATGCAATTTTGAGGCATTTTAAATGAAAAAAACATTGGCCAGTGTGTAGGTCGTTTAAAAATTACACATCATTGGCAATACAATAACGCACGCATATAATTCCTTAATGCCTTTGGAATAAACCCTCGGGGAAAACACAAAAACTCGTGAGGTATTAAATTTACTTAATTATGTGTGTCAGCGAAATGGTTTGAACGCTAAATAACATTTCCAGATGTGGACTAGACATGTAGAATGCATAATTATAGATGTTAATTTTGCATTAATCAATAACGGATTGATTTCATTTCAAGGTTGTGCATTTCGAGGTCGTATATTTCCGGGAGCATGAAAAGCAGCGAGAGCCTACTCTGATTAGTAATTCGTGTCAGAATATAATTCCGTTTACAGTTTTACGTGCCCCGTGTGACACAAAAGGTGTTTGAAGGGTCGAAAACGCACGTATAATAAAATACTAAAATATGCACGTATCCAAATATGGTTAATATAAAATTATAAAATTACAATAATTATAGACTTGGTAATTTTATATTTGATACGAATGCAATTCTATTCTCTGTAATCCGATGCGAATTCGCGTTTAAAGTGAACTTGATACATTATTAAAGAACAGACTTTTACCTACGGAAAGAAAAACAATGGTTGATTATTCGTTTATTAATTTTAACGTGACGCCAGTCCAAGTTTTGAAATTTACGCAACGCAGTAGTAAAATTCACAGATGCCATTATTTTTTTCAATCCGTAATATATTTGACGATACGCGAAGCCGGACGTTGTATGTGTGTATGATAAAACATTGTGTGCTTTGTATTATGCAGAGCGCAAGAAAGGCTACGCCACATTTAGGTCTTAACTCCAAAGTTGCTTGGTAATTCTGGTAATACGTCTTATAAAACGCCTCCCCTTTTCGTTGCCTCTGTCCTAATTTACCGCTAAACTATTTGCACAAGTTTTATGTAACTAACGTCCGATATAATGGCCAGTATTAATTTGCGAATCATTTGTGTTGTTATTTCAGCAGTTTATTTGAGCTGATTAATTAATGAGCCGACGGATTCGCGCAATTCATTACGTCATTCGAGTCAGCTCTAGCATTAAACTGATCCAAATGTATTAATTATTTTACATTAAATTCTCTGTCCTACGTATTTACATTTAACGCCGCTGCTTTTTATTTCGCGCGCGTCTCGAAATTATAAGCGGACAGTAAAGCCTATCACACAATGCCAGGCAACAGGCAATAGGAATAGAGAATAGAATTTTTGACGCGTTGGATTCGTCGGAAATTTTCTTCCAACCAATCCAACGCGTCAGAAATTCTATTCCCTGTTCCTATTGCCTGTGCTTTCCTATTGTGTGATAGGCTTTAGTAAGAAGAATTTTGATACGAAGCGCGATAAAGCCGACTGCAAAAAGGGGCAACGCTAAGTAAAAGAATTTTTATAATTTTTCATAATGCGCTTCCGTGTCATCGGAACTCTCTTTGAAATGGATATACTTGTTTGCACGAGTTACTTAATGTTCTGGAATGCGCACAGTTTAATTCATAATGCTTTTCGAGTCCCCTTTGCATTCTATTCTTAATGTGGCGAGTATTCCCTGGGAGATTAATTTCCTCGTAATTAGTGAGAGTGACGCAGCTCTCGCGAGCTGAAGTGTTGCCGCGGCGTGCATGCCGGTCGTCTCGCAGGACAACAGAGTTAGGAATTATAACGTAGTAATTAGAAGTAAGAAAAGTGTCCGTGTAATGAATATTTGGCGTATTAAAATGTTGGCGGGACTCTCGAATCACAGAATCTAATTGCCGTGAGTAGACAGAATTTCCTAAATGAAATTAACCTCGTGTACACCGCGTGAAAATTCAGTGAAACACATGCAAGGTATCGTGTAAGGTTCGCCGCTGTCCCTTCAACTGCCTCTCTTTCATCCCGAGAGTAATTTGACCTACACTGGCCAATGTTTTTATTTAAAAAAAAACGACGTTTCGGTCCCAGATTTGGATCCTTTTCAAGTAATCTGTTCACACAATTGTTAATGATCTCGTATCGTTCGTTTGGCCAATATCGTTATGTTAGTAAGATATAATTAGTAAAAAATTATTGCACTCTTTGGTTGAAGAGTGCAAAGTCAAGTGAGGTTGCATTGTTAATTGTTAAACACAAGTAAAAGTATCGAGAGATGTGCGTTGGACGAGATATCAGATTGAACTTTCCTTTTTAAAAACTCATTGGTTTTAAACTACTGGCGACATTAAATCTATTTGTGAGTAATTTAGAGCTTTATACCGAGGATTTGATTGAACGCCGTGCATTTTCAACAACGTTATTTCTACACGCAGCTTCTTCACTTTATTTATCACTTTGTGGCATTTTAAAAGGTCGCTCGTACCCCAACCGTCCTCTACGTTTCTCCACGATAAGTTTTGCAAGATGCTCTCGCTTTTGCGCGAAACACCAGAAACGTTTTCAATTCTCCCTGGAATATCTCGACACCAGTTCGGACGAAATACACCTTTCGGCGCTTACATATATTTTATAGCATTAGCTGTCCAGACATTAACGCCTGCTAGGATATCCGAGGTTCGTCGCCTGTTCGGAAACAGAGTCGACACGTGAAAGAAATTGCGGAAAACGCGTTCTGCGTCCTCACATATGTAAATGAATTCATATCTATCAGAAACGTTTTCAATTCTCCCTGGAATATCTCGACACCAGTTCGGACGAAATACACCTTTCGGCGCTTACATATATTTTATAGCATTAGCTGTCCAGACATTAACGCCTGCTAGGATATCCGAGGTTCGTCGCCTGTTCAGAAACAGAGTCGACACGTGAAAGAAATTGCGGAAAACGCGTTCTGCGCCTTCACATATGTAAATGAATTCATATCTATCTCTCTCTTTTAATAATATGCCAAGGCAAATATTCAACGAGACAAATTCATTTTGTCACAGCGCAGGCACTTTAATGTGGGAAATGAACAAACATTCTGAAGCACGATGTCGACGTACAGAGGTACACGCGTTCGCAGCAAACGGGCGTACTTCGGTTGCCTTTACACAAGTATTCGTGCAGAGGAATGCAATTTTGCCTCGCAAAGATCCGCGATAGAATGTGGATTTTAATAAATCAATTTTGCACTCGCACTTCTTTCATTTCGATTTCGAGTTTTGCCGCGTTACGCCCGGAAAATTATGCCAAGGCGTGCACGACGCGAACATTATGTGAGACATTACGAAGGTATGTGCCCCCGTTCATAACTCGCAGTACGCTCGCCCCGTGATATATCGGCCAGAGAGCAGATACGGAATTTTCATCTTGAAAAGCCCGGCGGAACATCATTATGACGCCTCGTGCGCCTCGGCGAAGCGTATGACCTTTCTAACAGTGACATATTGTCGCGTCTGTACATCGACAAACGTTTCTCCTCGGTGATGCCGATACGCCGAAAAAAGAGCTTCGCGTTTGATTGCGGGGAAAGTCAATATTGGAGAATCGATGTTTATCTCCTCTCGAGCGATATTGGAAAGTTAATCGCGATCTGATGCCTAATGATGGAAGAGTGAATTTTGTACTTCGCGAACGTTTGTTCCATACACGGAGAGAATTTTCTCTTGAAATTCGTGTGATTGTGGGACAACATTTGCGGTATTTTCAAGAACTTGATGAGTTTCTTGAAATTTTATCATACATTTTACTAGTAAAGTGTATACTAACCGGTGAAAAATTTTTCATGCACGAGCGTGTATAAATATATAGCATTATATAAAGTAATACATGAAATATGTCCATACATATTTTTACATTGTATACTTTACATTGTATAACGTAAATAAATATATAATTCTATATATTTATTTACGTTCATACATGAAAATATTTTCTTGGGAAGTATAATTACTGGTGAAATGTATGGAAAAACTGCATGTGGCAACTAAATTTCAGTTGTAAAATATGGACAGCTAATGTGTTGTGATAGCTAAATATTTTGCTACTGTGTTTATTGTATTAGGTGCGATAGCAGACCGTTTGCTGTGGTTAAAAAATTTAGCTACGGTAGCGAAAAATTTGTTCCTCAGTGTAAAATATCAAAAACTCATAAAATTCTTCGAAATGCCGTGTTGTCTCACACATAATTCATATAATTTTCAAGATTTATTTTAAATATTGCAGACCGTTCGCTGTGGTTAAAAAATTTAGCTACGGTAACGAAAAATTTGTTCTGTGTAAAATATCAAAAACTCATAAAATTCTTCGAAATGCCGTGTTGTCCCACACATAATTTATATAATTTTCAAGACAACAAAGAAAATTCTCTCCGTGTACTTATATTTATTTGCGCCGCGCAGGGGACAACTGCGGCTCGCAGCTCGTTCCAAGACGAATCTCATCCGATCGAGATCTCGCTTTTTCTCTCGGTTTGCCGTTCTATATACCTAATGGGGTAATATTTCGTCCCCGTCTCGCGGTTAAAAAGTGACGGCCTGAGACGAAGAGAGTCGCAGGCGAGTAAATATCGCGGCAGCAAATTACAAATGACCGTAATAATTCAATAAAACTAACTTGTATCCCCCCCAACGAGCGACTAGACTCGCCTCCCGACGGAGTTTCACGCGTTTGGCTGTCACGAGGGGGAAAACTTGTCGTTCCACCGCATTTGACAATTATCCCGCACCACCCTCCCCCCTCTGTAAAAAGTTGCTCGCCGTGGCACGAGGGCCGCGATACCGCAAACTTGTAATGTGCGCCTTCGCAATCACGGCGGATGTGCGACGAGTACAAATTCCCGAGAGTGACGTGACGCATTACTGAAATTCTTATCTGTATTAGCGAGACCACGCTGACGGCGATATCGATCTATCAGCTATTCGAACGACACGTGGACGTTGTAATTCGCGCGCGAGATACCACTTCTATCTTCAATATCGGACGCACTTACGTACGAAACGATGTAGTTAATAATGATAACGTTTCGTAAAGTACTACGCACGGTGTGTGCCGGGATCCGAAAATAGTCTGTTTATATCGCAAAATGATTCGCGCGAATTATCAGAACGTGTATTGTACGTAGATTATAATGACGGGAGACATTTTGCCTAACGAGAATTGGACTATATTGTCCTTTTCAATCGCGCCGCGCAATTTCTTTTCCTGATAAGATCGCATTAAGTATTATTTATATCAAGGAGCTCTTCTTTTCCCTAACCACCAAGCTTCCCGAAATTGCATTTGATTATCTCGAGAAGGTTGTATATACAGTTCTGCAATGCGAGACCAACTCCGAAACTCGTTACTTTTCAACTGGAGCAAATTTCGCGAAACGTTACGTGTACAATTTTGCGCCACAGCGTTATCTCGAGTATAATGATCGAACTATAATTCTCCTCAAGTATAATTCCATGTGTTATAATTGTACACCCAGAAAAATGTATGTATTAAAGTTTTATTTACTTCTACTGAAACATTGCTAGATTTGAAGAAATATATATGAATTCTCTTAGAAGCCCCCGGTCTCAATCAAATAAAATTGTGGTCAAGGTAAAGAAGTCGTTTCTTTGAAATTAAGTAAAAATCCAGTGAGGTCAAAATTCAAAGAAAAGTTTAACTCAAGGAAACTTTTTTCTGCGCGTACGCGATTCCTTTAGAAATGAAATTCGACGCCACGTTATTTCAAAACGTATACCGACCAAATTACAAACACAATTCCATGTGTTGCAGGTGGTGTTTTTGCTTTAGGAATAAAATTCGACTCCAACGTTATTTCAAATGAACGAACTCCGCAAATTCCTTGTGTTATGTTTTTTTTTAAATAAGAGTTGGATTGTCTTTGCGTAATATACCATGCGCGGAAAAATATATGGTCACTTTGTAAAATTAAAAATCACGAAAATGGCGCTTGGTTCCACATTGCATAACCGCATTTGGTCGACATAGCTTATCGCTCCTCTGTTTTATACGGCAAAATTAGAATTGCCATTATAAGGCGATATCAATCGCATTACACTTGATATTCATTACCAATATACAGTGTTGTGCATAGATGATTTTAAAATTAGCTAGATAAAGATAAGATAAAAATATATAAATTTATCTTAGATAAGATAAAGATGATTTCGTTTTGAATATATCTAGATAAAAGATAAAATTATATGATGATTCATCTAGATAATTTTCAGATAATATTTTTAAGACTTCATGTAAACACAGTAGAAAAAGTTATTAAAAAATTATAGAAAAATTTGAATTATAAAGGGGGATATAGAATATATCCAGGTTATAGGTTATATGACACACACATAAATGCCTGGTCTACAACGCCATCCATATTTAAATAGTGTAACTGTTAAGTATTTTTATGTGGCCCTAAACCAAATTATCTGTACGTTATCTTAGATAATTTAGTAAAGATAACACTTTCTTTCATCTAAGATGCAGATATAGATAATACTTATTTTTATTATCTATATAAAGATAAGATAACGCTAAAATTTTATCTAGATAATCATCTATATAATTTTATTTAGATAACAGCAAACACTGCCAATGTAATATTCCCTTCAGCTTCGATTCACGCGGACTCGGGCACGGCAAACGGATCGCGGTACTACGCGTAATTAACTGGAATTTCACGAGCATTAAGTAATTAGCGTTCTTTCGCGGTGTGTTACAGGCGGGAGCTCTGCCGAGACCCCTGGCTGCAGCGTCTGCAGCGGGATACGACGACAACAATTAATCGGCGGAGCTGATCCAGGGGCATCTTTCCGATTTGTTTCTTGATGAAAACGCGCGACTACCCTCTCTTGTACAATATCAATTATGTATAACTCATCGCATGTCTTGTCCCGCGCGCGCGCGCGTGCGCGCGCTTCCCAGGCCAGCGGGGCTGTGGGGCATCCCCGAAATTTTCGCGTCTCTTTACTTAAAAAAAAAAATCCAAAACCCGGGCGAAGCAGTGAGAAATCCGCGCCGCGATCCGCGTAATCGGGCGATCGCAAGATACCGAGCTCATCATTTTGTTTGTACGCTTCATCTGCGCGCGCGTTAATTCGGATCGACGCGTTCCTAGAACGGTAGCTTTACTTTCGTACGACGATTCGATTCTTTCGCTTTGTACGCGATTTTGCGGGACTCGCAGTACTGTTCAACATTTAAGAGGAACACGCTCTCTAAGATCTCTTCTGTACAATTGCGCCCGCCGTTCTACCTCGTTAATTTCCATTAATTAGTGGCGGCGGCGCTGTAAAAGGACACTTGGCCTAAGTCCTTCATTCGATGTGGGATAACAATCTACACGCTTCGATCGCTACGAGCGTAATTGTTCCTTATTTTAATTACGCGCATCGGCACAGAGAATATAGAAACAACTTCGCGCCCTGTGAGCTGATGTACATCGGGTGTCCCAGGCTTTTCGGGCAATTTGTCGACGGAGGATCGAGGAACGACGAATTTGATTTCCTTCGGAAGACACTAAAACGTTGTTTTAATTGCCATCATTGAATATCTCAGCCAGCAACTTTCTTCTAATTAAATGTATTTAAACTGACCAATGTGTACAGCACTTAATCATTTATTTACACTTTTAAACTTTAACTTACCAAGAGCTCGCTCTCTCTTTTTATTAATTTATAATAAACGATTTTATTAATTTGTAACGAACGGTTTGTGATTATAATCTTCCACTGAATATTCCCTTGAGGAGACGAGAAATGTGCCGTGAATCTTATCTGCAAGATTATTGGATAATTCTGGGGCATCGTATAATTTTCAACAGCTGGCCTGTTGGTCCATCAATCGGTTAATAGACGTAGTCTTTGCGATAAATGTGCCAAATAATATAATCATTGTATTATAAAGAGAAAAGGGAAGATCTGCATCATCTATGACGTATACATTGCAGAAACTATAACGGTTAAAAAAATTTCACGCGTAATGGGGATCGTTCGCGAAACTTTAGTGCGAACTGTTTATCAATATTATCATTATTCGCCAACAGAAAGAGGGTCGCGTCTCAAATATGTCAATTTGCAAAATTAAAAATAAATTATTATGTAACACTGTGTCACATTTATTCCTCTGCAGCAAATGTGTTCTACAAAATTCTTCATCTCCCACGTGAATCCCACAGAACTTTCCGTGGATACGCCCGCGGATATATTCTGTGAATGCATCATCTACGAGCGGAGTTACTGACAATGCGACTGCGTTGGTTGTACTAATAATGAACTAACGGTAGTTAGATTTCGACGCGGTCAAGTCTTGACACGCGCGCGGGCGGCAGTAATCCAAGTAACGGGGAAAGAACGAGGAAGCGCTTAACTCGTGTCGCTAAAAGGATTTTCTTTTTCATCTTTGCTAATAGATTAAGAAGCCCGATTAAAAACTTTCGAAAAGTGGCCATTTCTAGTAGAGTCCGAATTGAAAACTTTCGGGAGAGTGGCTCGCGCGAACTTTTACCGCGAGAAGAAATTGCCGACCGTTTACTTCCAGATGCATTATGTAAAATGCGAAAAACGCAGGCCACACTTTTACCGCGAGATATCTTATTCTCGGAAGCTATAAACGCCAGAGATATATCGCGTGGAAAGAAACCTGTCTCTCTCTCTCTTTCTCTCTCTGCGCCGCCTTTAAAGGATCCGTTATTTTATTGAGCAAACGTAGAGAAAAGTCCCATGATTATGAGTTTCTAATATGAGACAACCGGATTTCCACATCCAAGTTCAATCACAAATCTTTTTCGCAACGATTACACGATCTAACAATAAATTTTCCACTAAACAGATTTCACTCCAAGTGCAATAAATTCATGGTGGAACCAACAGACGACGCCTGTTAATTTGGCAGAAACCCCGCGATCTCGTATTAGGATCCTGTCTCGTATTAGGAAACTGTCCTCTATACATTTGGTTACAGAATAAAAATTCGAACCTATCGAGAACAAATTACAGCAGAGACATCGCTACAGGTGCGAACAGCTTATTTGAAACGCGCCGATCTGACGAACGAGCAAATCCTTTTGATAGATTGCGCCACTTCTTTATCCTCGTGGCTCAGATCCCCGACGTTCTTGAATTCCGGCCTCAGGAGAACTTGGCTTCGTACACGCTCCAGAGTAATCGACAGAGGCATCGTTAATATCCTTGACCAGTTGGTTGCCTCGTAATTAGCCATAAACTGAAACACGCACGGTTCATTCGCACGATTCCGTAAGTCCGTATCGAAGATCCGTACTAATCACCGAGGCGCGTAACTTTCATTACTAACTTGATCGAAGCACGTGTCCTCGATGTGAAACATTATATGTGCGAGAGACTTGACGATGGGCGACACTTCTGGCAGAATAATCAAATCTACCTCCCTGCTCTCCTCGCCGCGACGTAAATTATTTAATACCCAATCGGACGCTCGAACTAGATACTCGTGTGCAATCTACGATACACAAAGTTTACACGCAATTAACTTGTGGACTACCGGGAGAAGTCACTTCTGCGGTACTGAACGAATCTCGAGATTGTGCGCGATGTGCATGCTATTTATATGAACAAAATTTTGGACAAAAAGAACCCTATTCTAATGGAAAAGAAATGTCAGTAGCGTAAAGGTTGATATTAAAAGTGCATTGTTCGATAAATATACGAGCATTCCTAATGACAGTCGCTTCACTCACTTTTAAGGAACGTCGCCCGACATTCGTGAACAACAACTCGTCTGTGTAAGTTTCGATGACACAAGCCATGTTCTGTAATTCACCGCTTCTCGGATTCTCGTCTTCTCTCCTGAGGCTGCAACGAAGTTTCTTTTTCTCTTTTCCGTTTAGACGAAATAAAATGAAAACTGTACAAGATTAGCAATTAACATTAAATAAGAATAAATATAGTCGAGTTACAGGGGCAATTACTATGTGTTAGTGTAAAGTATATCTTGCAAATTCCTAGAAATTTTACTAAACGCCAAGCTTGGGGAAGCTGAAGCTTCGTACGGCACAATGCAAAGCTTAGCTATCCCTCGCAGACGTAAGCTCGTGATAACGCGATGAAATTAAATGTGTGACACGGTACAACTTTTACCTCGTATGTATTCCGAGCGCGAGTTGTTTATAAATAAATAAATCGGGAATAATCCAACGTATTTAATGTTATAATACAATTTAAATTCAAGTTGTAAAGGTAATGCATGTTAATATGCATTTATTACGTATGTATTTGAGGATGGAACACGAGAGGTAACAGAGTTTCATCCCGGCAAATCTGTCTTTTAACATTTTATAATGTCCTTTAAATGAAAAATGACGATTCTTCGCGACTACTCGACACATTCTTAATGTGTACGACAAACATTTTAATCAACAGACTCTGAGGCTCTGAGCTACAAATTCTATGTTTCTCTTACAGTATCTCCACAAGCGGTAAGAAATGACGCAATTTCCCTGCCGGAAATAATTCCACGAAATTCTACGAAAAAATTAATATAACTGCCAGAATCTAAGAAATTCTACGTGAATTTAAAAGGTGTTGTAAAAAATCAACATGAAAGTGCTTGCTAGAATTGGAACACTTTTGTTAATTTTTGTAATATTCTACAAGCAAGCAGATGTTTTAATTCTTTAATATTTTGTTGTTTCTCAAATTTTTTAAACTAGTAAAGTTTTGTACTAATTTTTACAAAGTTGTACATTTCCATGAAATACTAGCAACAATTTCTTGATTTAAGAACATTGTATACTATTTCGTGGATATTTTTACAAAAAAATTGACGTTTGAACGAAGATATAAAAATTTCGACGACCTTCTGTTTCAAGTCAATTTTTCGTAGTTATTTATACGAATGTTTTCCGCTGGGGTTACAACTGAAGAAAACGAATTGTTTGTAAAAAATATCACTGTCACTATTGGACTGCGAGCAAGGATACGATAATTAGGAAGGAACTCACCTGTCCTTGACAAGAAGCAAGAAGGAGTCTATCTGCGACGTGTGCTTATTGTCCTCGTCGATGCTGCAAATCGCCTCAGCGAGCGCCGTCGCGGCGGTAGATCGGTCGTACGGATTGAAAGGGCTCAGCTCGCAACACGTGTCCTGGGAGCCCGGTGTACTGTGAGACTCGTTCCTGCCCTTCGCGGACATGTCCAGGAGGGTGGAGTACAGAGCGGCGCATAACACCTGGAGCAACACGTTGCCGCCGATCGGCCGGCAGTGCGCGGGTACGTTGTCGTTTAACGCGAACGCGGCGCGTAAAACCGGAGTCGAGGCGGTCACGTATAGCTCGGCGAAGCAACCGATCGCTAGGGACATGGCCTGATATATGCTGGCACCTGTCTGAAGGTAATTTTCGAAAATTTATCTAAACGCTGCGAAACTCCCGCGGTGTATCGAAACTTGGTAATTTATAATCTTACGGCACTGCAGCGACACGTACGATTTTAATAGAGGAAGGTCCCGCATTATGAGACAGGCTTCTAATGCGTGATAGCAGATTATCAGCATCCAACTTCAATCACGGAGCTCCTTCGCAACAATCACACGATCTATATAACGATGAGTTTTCCGTTAAACAAATTTTACTCCAAGGACGATAAGTTCATGGCGGAACTAACAGGCGATGTCTGTTAATTTTGCAGAGACTTCGCTATTAGGAACCTGTCTCGTAATAGAGCACCTTCCTCTACTACATGAAGAGGGGTTTTCTGTTAAAATTTATCCTGAAAATATTGTAATCGCGGAACAACGCGGTATTTCAAAGGATTTCATGAGGGTTTTTTAAAATGTTACCATACATATCTCTAGCAATTCTACTTAGCTAGTAAAGTGTGTGGTAAACTTTCAAGGAACTCTCATAAAGTTCTGCCAAATTTAAGAGAAAATTCTCTCCGTGTACTTGACGTTGTAGCGAACGACTGAGAGAGTTAAACATCGTTGTTGTAAAAAAAAGAGAGAAACAAATATAAATCCTCCGACGAATACTCGAATGTTACCGTATTGCGTAAGTATTGTTGTGTAATAATTACTTTCGCGGCGTCTAAAAGCACGTCGGCCACCGGCTGCATCATAATTTTCAGCGGCTTTATCAGCGCGTTCAGCCAAGGTGGCCGCGATTGATTCCAGACCTTTAAAATAATAAACGAGTCACAATTAGATATCACGCCCGTATTTGTGTGCAATACGCAACGTTTTTGCAGAGCATAGTAAATAGGAGTATGTGAAAAGACAAAGAGTAGAGAAGCGCTTATAAAATCGAACGTTAACACTCGAAACTTGAGTATTTTTTCCGTAATCACAACCAAACATCAGCTGTCGATATTTTACAACTGAAAGTTAGTTGCCACATGCAGTTTTTAGCTACGGCAGCTGCATTTTCTCTTCCGTGCATCACGCAAAGTGTATTTTAATAAGAATTGGTATAAATTTACACAACTAACTCTCGAAACGTTTTGTAAAAAAAAAACGCACAACCTGTTGTCTGTCCAAATAATTGGACCAATTCGGGTCCTGCTTGAGCGCCGATATGATCACGTGCTCCGGCTCGTTAACGGTTACCACCAATACGTGGAAGAAGCTGTACAATGCCAGAGCCGAAGTGATTTTTAGCGTTTTGTCGCACGCCGATCCGCTGCATAAGAAACCGCTGCAGCTTCTTTCGTCGCTCTTTGACCTGTCAGCAGCGTCAGTGTCGTCCACGCACGTGACGCCTACGTTTTGCCGTATCAAGGTCTTCAGCAGCATCCTTGCCACAACGTAATCGCTCATCGATATCACCTGCAAGCAGAGCGACGTTCCATAGGTCGGAAAGATAAATAGCTTCGTTAGCGGATCGTGTCAGCAATCACCTTCATCAACTGAGGCCAGTTGGGTTGGGGCTGATGCCTCAAGACATTCAGCTCGAGGACGACAGCTTTGTCCGCGGGTAACGTTATAATATCGGCTGGAGAATCGGTTGCGCCTAATCCTAACAAATTTGGAGCGCATATCAGCAGCCAAGGAGCAGGCCCGCGCCGGGGCCGCAGCATCGCCAGATTTTCCAAACCGTGTCGGAAGATCTGGACAACGGTACGAAAGCTCAACAAATGATTGGACTCTCGAGACTGAAGAAGGATTTAGGATGCGAGAGTCAAACGCGGTTGTGTTACCGCGTGTCAGTTTAATATAATTGTTCAAGTGCAATTCTCGATCGCAAGTTTCGGACGAAGTTTCATGCAATTTTAATATGTCTGAAGTTTATACGATCGCCACACTTGAGTGTAGCTCAAAATTTATTTCATTAACTCGTTCAACAAAACTTGCATGCTCCCAGATAGCCAGTGTGAGCACAAGTTGCTTTCACATTGCTAAGAAAAATGTTAGCATCTTGCTATGCATCTATGTCGTTTATTGTGCTGCTGTTTGCTAGCATTTGGTGTCGGAAATGAAACATTTGCATGATTCAAACATTATGCTAGCATTAAGTGCTTGGTCAGATGTAATAGATATAACATGTTTATATCTGTTAGAAAATTGAAAACAATATATGCTAATTCTTTGTTAACAGTATGCCTATTCGATGTGCTCTCTCTTTAGCTGTGCATTTAACTACGACAATATGTTAACATTATGCTAGCTGTACTTAAATCACTCAAACATTGAATTCATATTCCCAGCAAAGAGCCAGCATCAGTTGCTGGCATTTTATTTCCATACATTGCTTGAGCAGACTGGCTATCTGGGCTCTTCTTCGTTCGATTTGTCGGGAAACGGTTCTAAGTGTCCGACCCTCGGAAATACCTGATATAATTCTCTGAGAGGGGTGCCTCTGAGCAGCAAGCAGATTAACAGTTCGTTACATTTTGCGTGCATGTCTCTTACCGCCGTCGGCAAATTACTCGGACGTGCACCAATCATCCCGTCGCTGTCGACACACGCGCCCAAAGCGAGGTAGCCCGTGCAGCAAAGCACATTAAAGGCGTCCGACCAAAATTGTTCGGCTCGCGCCACTGTCGGTCGTCCCTGTCGCAATTTCATTTTTGCCTTTAATCCACGTCCCAATTGCTCACGCAGACTAACACTCAAACGTCGCGCCTCAATAAATCGCAGACGAATGCGTAATGCATGCAAATAAGTGAAACAAAGAGAGAGAAAAAAAATGAACCACGCTAACACGATTTGGAATGTAAAATCCGCGCTCGTGACTCAGCGATAAAACATTCGATGGAGATAAAGGAGCGCGAAATAAATTGGAAGATTAATCGGAACTAGTCGCGCGATATCTCGCGGCCTTACGTGAATGAATCGCGTAGTTATGATGGACAGGGACTCGTTTAGCATCTCTGAAAATACGCGCTGTGCCATCTTAGGCGAGACCGTGTTCCATAAATCCGCCTTAGTGCCTGGAAATATTAACATATCGTTTTTTTTTGTTTTTTTGTTTTTTTGCGAAACGCTGCATCGCTCAGCGTCATAAATCTGCCTCCGCGGAATATTAGTCTGCAGAAATTACATCGAGAAAAACGAGCCGTGGAACGGTTGGCTTTACCTTGCATGTACAACCACCACATTTGTACCACGTAGGAGCACCGTTCCCTCTCGAAGAATGGTTTGTCGCTGTGCCAGCTGAGGGAGTCCGCCTCATTGAGAATGTATAAGGAAATTAGTCGACAGTGCAGGTCGAGCAATCTCTCCGCCACAGCTTCGGCCATTTCATGAAACGCTTTGTGGGACTTGTTAATCTTTTCGCTAGTGGGAGAGAAAGCGATGAGATAAGAATCGAACGCGCGTCTACATAGAGTACAAGGTTACTCGATCTTAAACAAGGACTAGCAAAAAGTAATAAAAGAGAGCCATTAGATTTAGTTCCGCGTTAAATTTTAGGCACAACAAAATGAGAAAGTTGTATCCCATACATTTTTTAAACAACAGCACTTGTAATAAATCGTTTACGCGCACTAAGTCTAGCTATAAATTAAAGAATAAATATTTTGCCGTTTTTAACGTTAAGATAAAGTAATTGGCAATCTCCCTGGCACAGGCTTCGGCCGTTTCATGAAAATGTACATAGCTTTTGTGATGTAAAGCACCTCGATTGAGAAGAAATTATTCCTTTTGCGTGCTGATTGTAGCACCGCAAGCAGTTACGTATCAATGCCGCCGCTCCCAAAGTGGCAGTGAGCACGGTGAGATCGGCGTGGTCCAACGATTCCTGGATTAACATGTGCAGATGTTCTAAAAGATGGAAATTTCAGGATATTGTCCTACTTGTTCCCTTCGAATATTTTCAAAATTGTAAATCGCGCCGCTATAAAAAAAAAAGATCTGAAACGCAAACGCAACTTCCTTGCAGAGGTGACTACATAAAGCAGTTTGAAAATGGCGGAGGTCAATAGCGAATCATTTTAATTGACTTAGCGTTGAATTTCTTCAGTGGAAATTTAATCCAACGAATTGTGGAGTGATTCAATATCGATCTCGAAGGAAATTAAATCTCCAGAATATCAAACGTCACATTCTTCATGGATTATAATCTTTAAAAAGAAATCTTTCTGTTTACTCGGTCTTTAATTATTGGAATATTAGTACAAATAAAATTAAAGACGACAAGTTTTCGCCGAAAGAAGGTGGTCCAGTTTGAAAGATATATCCTTAATTTAATCCTCAATTAATAGTTGCACGTGGCAACTAACTTTCAGTTGTAAAACATGGACAGCTAATATTTAGCTGCGAATAGCTAAATATTTTGCTACTGTACCTCTTGTGCGTTCGCTGTGCTTTAGAAATTGATAGTTATGGCGGCACAATATATTTAGCAAACCATTATTAACTCCGGTAGCGAAAATTTTTCTCAGTGTCCCAACAACGTTTTTATATTTTTACGAGAAAGTCTTTATAAAGATCGTTTCTACAATTTGTGCCAGAGTAGTGTAATACGAAAAGTATTTAAAGAATCCCATTAGCGTGTGACGTAAGCAACTCGTAATTACAAGAAATATAACATTTATTTATAATTAATTAAGTTTCAATGCAATGTCTCTTTTTTAACAATCGTCTCACCAAGGTGCTACTTTTTTCCTTTGCCTTCCCGACTTCCTCGCGCATGTCGTTACCTTCGCCATTAAATTAATTGAGTTAAATGTATTTATAAAATACGCCCATATTGCTCGCAGCTATGTTCGCGTTTACAGTAACATGTAATATATCCAAATGCACGCGGCGACATGAAGAACCATAAATAAAATTATATCTTGAATTCCAATCATCCGAAGCGATTGACACATATTTTCGATTCAGCTGTTAATGAAAGAACAGACGCGCCAAAATCTGCGCTTATTGTTAGTATAATCACGTGTAATGAAATGTAAGAAAAAAATATCGAGTTTATAATTAATTGCCTCCTATCCGTTACTTTTCTCTCCCTTGCAACCGTTCTACCTATTTTTTGTACAATTATTTCAAATGTTACGTCAACGTCCATTTTTATTTCCCATCGCCGGGGTGAACTGTGTACCTAGCAGTTGCTCGGCGGTGTCGACAACGAGCAGAATAAAGTCGGACGGCTGGATCCGTTTGATGACAACGTCTTCACTGTCGACGCTGGACGCGCTTCCGTTCTCGGAGGAGCTCAAACCGGAAGCGCGCCTGAAAGCGGCCACGAAGTCCGCTTCCCACCACGTGACGATCTTAATCGCGGCGAACGAGGCGTGCCGTGGAAAATCGAGCCTACCGCCGCTGATGCGTATACAGAGGGGTTCCCTCAGAACCGTTTGCATCTCCTGCGCCGATAAATCATGATATCAGCGACGCGAGCCTAAAATTACTTTCATAAATAACATCACGAATTGACTCGATTTGACCGAGTTAGAATTTCAAAAAACTGTCAAAAGTTCTTCACGATTACGCGATTTTCAGGATAAATTTTAAGAGACAGTTCTCTGCGTGTACGAGGATAATTTCCTCTTAAAAATTATCCGGAAAATCGTATGATCGTGGGACAACGTGGCATTTTGAAGAACTTTATGAGAGTTTTTTAAATTTCACCATACATTTTACTAGTACAATTTCTTCAAAAGTTCTTTAAACTGGCATGTTGTCCCACGATTTTCAGGAGAAATTTTAATAGAAAATTATCTCCGTGTAGAATTCGTTAGATTTCGATTTAAAAGCAACCGTCACTGTCGCGACACGTGATAATGACAAATAGCTGAATTGCTCGATTTGTATCGCGTGTATTTGCGCCGCGGTTCTCCATTTTCAGAGGGATCACGACCGATAAATCAATCCTTTCCCTCTCTAAATTAAATCATGTCGTGTTCACGCGGCAAACGGAATAATTTCGAAATGGCGCGCTTCCGATGCGCGGTGCGCCGCTCGGAAGCCACGAATACAATCTACGCGTTGTGCTAAAAGCCCCCGAAGGTATCAAGCTGTCGCGAAAATCGACGTGACAAATTCTATTAAATCACTCACGGACAGCGCGACATAGAAATTGCATTAACGACGAACGATTTATACCAAGCTAATTGGTACCTGGTAATATTGCATATCCCGTTGCAATAAAATTCTTACGCGATCGACCAAATTCCCATCCTCCATAATCTCCATTTTCGCTCTCTGTCGAGAAACACGGAAAACAATTATGTTTGGACTCTCTAATTTGATTTTGTATGTGTGCAAGCAAACTCTACGTGTGTTAAATAAAACGTAAATCGAAAGCGACCTTTTGCGGTAACAGACTTGCGATCGCTCACGTTTTAAAACAATCCTTTAACAGAGGCCGATCTTGTCTTACAATTAGTAAAATTTCGACGGAACAATTATCCAACAATTCAACGAACAATTCGCTGATGCGTTTAGACAAACTAAAGTTAACAAGATTTGACTTTCTCGAACTAGAGAGAAGAGAGGAAAACTACCACCCGATATTTATTTACCTCAATAGATAATTAAACAAAATTCTTAAATTCATTGAACAATCTTGAGCTGAAATCACTCTTGTAGAATATAATAACCATAATATGTATTTGATGCTGCGTTTATTAGTAATTTATTTACAGTATAAAAAGTGTATACAAAACTGTCAATTTAATTTTGAATAATGTACAAGCTATCTTAGAGAAACTGGTCTAATTTTTAAAGACTGAGATTTTTCATTTTCTGGTCAATTGTTAACCAGAAGTTAGTCGACTCTCTATCCTTTTCTATGTTATCTAAGAAGAGACAGACGAAAGAATGGACTGAAAATACATTCCTGTCAGTTAGATCAAGCATACTAATATATGTATACATTCGGGATACACACGGGGACATCCTATATATTTAGTGTATAACAGCAATATACTGTTCTACACACTGTCTTTAAGATAACTCACATTTCTCAATATTTCGTACATGTCGCAATATAAAGCACAATAATAAATAACGTACATGTGCCATGGCAGAAATTCATTGCGGTGCAAGTGTGCAATATCGTCGTTTGACATTAAAGTTACTCACATGAAATTTCTTTATTGCAGTTGCTAAAAATACACCGTTGCACTAATATATACAGATTTCGGCGTTTAGCGGGTCTTACACCGATTCCATGTGCAACTTTTGTAAATCTGACCTTCGGTAACGTCCAATAGTCACCGGTGTAACGTAATATCAAGTGAGCCTAGATTCATGCGGTTTGTAAGTAAACCTCTATAAATATTACTTCTTAGAACTATCCATCAGCTTGTTTCTCTCTGCCGCTAAAGGAGCATCTGTCGAAGCACACCTCGCCTCTCACGATTGCTGGCATTTCATTATTAAGCAGCTCGTGCAAGCTCTTGCCGTCGTGCTTGTATATCCATTGGCCGTTTACGAAATCGTAACGTTTCGGCCCGGATTTCGGAGAGGACAGCCAAATCTGCTTGTTCGGCCTCTGACGGTTTATAACGTAAGTGCCGTGTGGCTCGCCGAACGTGACAGTTAGCACGCCGTCCTGCGGCAAAAAGTTCAAAAGTATCATCACACGTGCGAAACGAGATGCTTCTCCTAATTAATATACGTACTCCGTGGGATACATCGGCATCCGACAGGTGCGCCGCTTCCTCAACCAGTTCCTCAAAGTACTCGCTTAACGATTCCAGAGTCTCATTGCAAATCTTCTCGTATTGCACTAGGTTGAGTTCGCTAAAACCACGCAAATATCTGAAGCGTCGTCTAGAAGACGCGGAGTAAACTTGGAGTAAAGAGTAAGAGCGAACCGTAACTTTTAGCTTCTGGTGTAAGGAAGCTAAAGGATCGTCTACAATAGATGAAGAAAGCCTGGCGTAAGAAGTAAGAGTACAAGTGATGAATCGTTTCCATTTCTTACTCCTACTTGAGCTCTGACGCTTACTCTCGGTGAATTAGAGCGCAGTTCGGCGAGTGCTGTAAATACTTTTGAAAATTACTGTACTTTAGCTTTTACACTGATAAGTAAAAGTTATGGTTTTCCTCCCAGATAGCCAAATCTGTCAGAACAGATTTTGTCGAGTGCCCACTAGAAATTTTAAAGGCAGAAACACTGCGGATTGCATGCAGGAACTGATACATTCGACATGTTGCCAGCGTGTCAGCAGAAATACAACAAAATCTGCTCACATAACTGGACCTGCTCGGTTTCTGCCAACAATCCGTCGACAGCGTATGTTTTACAGACATTAGGTTTGTTTTCTGTTCCCGCGCTGGTGCAACTAGTGCAATAAATTGGAGTAAGACAAGAGTATATTTTCTCATTCTAGCTTACTGCACTAGTTCACCAGTGCAGGAACAGAAAACAGACCTGCAAAACAAGAGCCAGATGCGGACACAGATGGCGATTTTGGCGTGGGCTTCTGACAAATCTGCTGCCAATTTGCTAACATTTTGCTGACTGGGTTACTGCTTACTTCCAATGTAGACGGTGCTTAAAATACAGGCATAATTTTGTAAATATTTGTAACACTGACCGATGACGGTCTGATTCAGCGAGAGTAAGCGTAAGAGCTGAGGTGGGAGTGAGAAATAAAATTGATTTATTTCCTCGCTCCTACTCCTTACAGCTTACTCTCCAGGCTTACTCCATGCATTGTAGACGACGCATAAGAAATTTATTGACACTTGGGTCCAGTTTCACAAACGTCGGTTAACTGTTAACCAGAGTTCAGTCGACTTCCTATCTTTCTCTATCTTGTTATCCAAGAAGAGACAGAGGATCAATTAACCATGGGTTAGCGGTTAAACGACGTTTGTGAAACTGGAGCTTAGTGGCACAGGCGGATTAGCACAGCATTTGTTTGAAGCGTCACGAATACTTACGTTTCTGACGAGACTCCAGTGTCCGCGCTGAAACTTTTTACAGACAACTGCGGCAACGTTCGCGGATCCCTCCTCGAAAAGCGTGTTGAATTGCGGTGGACATAACCTGCAACGTGACTGCTGGGCCTGCTCGATTGTAAAACGGCTCGCTTCCTGACCGAAACTCGACGGAGGAATAAATTGCGGGACAGCCTGGAGATTATGTCGGATCTCGTCACGAGGTTTAACATGATAAATCGTTTCTCTTGGCAGTTTTATCGATCAAACAAGCTCTCCGGCTAGTACGACGGCACTTCCCGACGTATGTTTACATCGCAAGGTCGACGCGGGTCGGTATCGTCACGTGCGAGGCAGAAAGTTTATCCCTTGTAGCTGCACTTATACTTTTCACACCGAGTGTAGAATTGTATAAAATTATATAGAAATATTACAACGTAAAAAGATGTACGGACATATTTCATGTATAATTTTATATAATATATAATTATATAACTATACTATATGTTTATGCACGCGCATGTATGAGCAATTTTTCTGCCGGGGTGAAATATATAAAAAGAATTAAAGAACGCTGGGATTTCCGTTGAAAAATAATAGAGTTCGAAATATTAGATATGAAAATTTTTAATTGCATCTAACTGAAAACTGTGCCACTTTCCAATGAAAACATTTTTTAAATAATTTTTCACTGAACTTTTACTTCCAGATTCGTTTATCACCATTCCAGAAATTATGGTAGATTGGATCAAACTGAGAAGAAGAGTTATATAAATATTTTGCAAAATTCGTAATAATTATCGTGTAATTAAAAAAAGGTCTGAGCGAATAAGCACACGGAGGAGCGGAAGGCCGGCAGACATGCAAAATGGTGTATTTGTTGACATGTCTCAGGATCCGATGTTCAAATGCATTTCAGCAAAATTTCATTAATTTTCAGTAGAAAATATTTCCACCAGGTTCAGTGGCAAAGGCTGAAAAACATTAACAATTGTGGCCATTTGGAATAGGTGACGACAACAGAGGTTTATTCTTTACGGCTGAACCGTTTGTGCTCTTCAGCGCTTCTCTTCCTTTTTCTTTTTAATTATCCCAGCGAGAAATGACTTATTGATCGGCGTCGGCCAACAAGTCATTTCTCACTGAGATATATGAAATTATTACATCTAATTATATGTTTGATGTATACTTGTAATATATGTCTAATTATATGTATATCATCTTCACATATTATTTTTTATGCAATTGCAAATAATCAATATCTGAAAATGTGGACAATGACCGGAGATATTTTTGCTTTCACGGGTATTTTGGATGATTCAAGATCCATGACAGCTATGTCCGAAGAGGGAATCCCAAAGATAGCGAGACGTGACCGTGACGAATAAGAAAAGTGTAAAGGAAGGGGCAAGGAAAGTGGAGGAGACACATCAGTGGATCATTAAAAGCGCGATGCATGCACGCATCACTCTTTTTCTGTTTTTTTTTTTTAATACCGTGCGACCTCGGTGCTCGATAAATATCGCGTCTGTAACGTCAAGAAGCGGTAATCGCGAACATGCTCTCCCGCGGAGTCGATCGTGCGATGATCCGACTAATTTTCGTGCTAGCATGCACACTCGTGGGGCCGGCGTTTCCCTACGTGGTGCCAGATCCGACTTTTGAAGTGTTGAAGCCGCAAGGTCTTCGAGTCTCTGTACCCGGTAGGTTTGAGCATTGTGATCCATTATACCTAGTGGCAAATAATATTCGTCGATCAATGTCAAAACGATGTCAAATTGACGTCAATTTGCCGGTATCAATGTCGATTCGACATCATTTCGACACCGATCGACGGGTCATTTCTCGCTGGGTAGTGTCTTCCCTAGTAGCACAGTGCATGGACCAAACCTTGGTTAAACATTGGCCCTATACAACTAAATGTTGGACCAATGTTTGGCTCATGCACTGTGCTACTATCCAGTGAGAAATGATTCGACATTGGCATCAAATTCGACGTCGATTCGACAGCAATTTAACGGTGTCGATGTCGATCCGATATTGTTTCAACATCGATCGACGAGTCGTTTCTCACTGGGTGAGATTTCTTCTTCTTAGAAAAAATTGCGACAACCCC